GGAGACTGACGGGGCTGAAAGGGGGACTGGCCGTTTATGGAAGAAGAAGACGAACGTGCGGAAGCAACAGGCTGAAGCTGAGGTTGTGAAAGAGAGCGATTCCTATTTGGCTGGGCGGTGGTACCATCATAAGTCCATTCGATAATTCGACCAAAATAATCCCGAGGACAAGTAGGCTGTTGATAAACGACCTGAATAGTGTTGCCGTCAAGGTCGCGTACTGTTGCTCGTCTTGGGGTTTGGCCGCCTTCAAAGCCTAAACGAGGTCTGGGACTGGGGCCGCCAGGATAGATTGGGTCACCGTCAGTTTGAATACTCAGCCACGGATTCGCGGTGAAGGCGCAGTCGTGGAAGCCGATCACTGCATCAGTGGACGGTACCGCAAAGACCAGAGTCGAGAGCTTGACAGGTTCGAAAGGTCGAGAAACCTCGCGGATCTGCAGAACTGGCGTGCCACCTTTTTGATCGTCACTACGTTTGCCTCCAGACTTGCCGGCTCCAGATGGAATTCCGTAAGTAATAGTCCCAATGGACGAGTTCTGTTCGCGTGACTCGTTCAAGAAGCGCAAGCCAATGAGCTGAAGAGTTGCCGAGTAGAAAGACGAAGACTGTGCCAAATGTGACACCTCGACGAATGGTAGTGTCATGGTCTCTTATAGAGCTCTGAGTGCCAGGACTGTCCGATCGGCTGCCTGCTGTGAGGTACCCGCTCGGATGCCTTGGCCGATATTGCAGGAGTCTTGGAGAATCCCCAAAGACTTTTGGAACTGGACGATTGCGTTGCTCAAGCGTTACTGGCTGAGCAATATGTAAGAGGAGGAGGGGGCTGGTGGGGAGACTGGAATATCGGTCAAGGTTGGCGGTGATGAGTAATGAGGAACCAGGAGTAGAGTACCTTAGGTAGAGCAGAGTAGCAACCCCAAATTGTTGGAGAAAATTAAAACCGAAAAATTTAAAAACGACAGATTAGAAGGAGTAAGAAAATCCACGAAGAAGAATGGTCCAAATAGATAGCGAGAAATACAGCGAGACAAGCAAGAAATGTTGGCCGGGTGAGGTGGCGGAGTGGATGAGAGAAGGCGGTCGAGAATGAAAAGGTAGGGATTTCGAGGCGACCCCAGGTAAAAAACAAGGCGTATCCGATTCGATGCCCCGAGATGAGTAACTGAGTGAGTGAGTGAGTTGTCCAGCTAAGGTAGTGCCGTGCGGAAGCCCAGAGAGGAATTCAATGGATCCGTACGGTACGGTAAGGCAGGGCAAGGTAGAAGAAGGCAAGGCAAGGCAAGGCAAAGCAAGGCAAGGTGAGGTGAGATGAGATGAGGTGAGGTATTGTGAGTGGCCCAAGTCGAATGGTGAGTTGTCTGTTCCTTAGTCTAGTCGGTCAATTGCTGCTTGGACCGACACCTCAGACGCCCAACACAACAAGAAACAAGAGAGGAGAGTCAAAGATGAATGGCCAAGTCCAAGATGTGAGATGGATAAGAGCACACACAAAGATCGGTTGGTGCCCGAGACTGTGATTAATCCTCGTCGCTCCAGATAGTCAAGGCACGACACGACACGGCAGTGAGTAATAAACAAGAGCCTGGACACACCAGGGTAAGGTATCCGGTATTGATGAATGTGACAAAGCTGCGATGCAATTCTAAGGCCCTTGTCCAAATGAACAGACGAGGCAGGGATGTGTGGATAGATATGCGTTTTGTGTTTGTTCTGTTAATTGCTCAAGGCAATTGGAGCAATTGCTCTGAGAAAATGGAGACCGGAGACTCTAGAGGCTCTGTCTATAAAAGAGAAGAGGAGGAAATAGGCTTGAGAGGGGGGGAAGTCGAAAGACGAAGAGAGAGAGAGAGAGACGCAGAGAGAGAAAAAGGAAGATGCAGCTAAAGAGAGAAGATCACCCGGACGGGATGCCCTGAGAAGGTGTCGTGAGGGTGGGCTCTACTTTGGAGGTACTAACTGTACTAACTGAATGTCTCTGCCCAGATGTTATGCTGATGCGTCCAGAAGGCGGCCAGACGCACGCCCACTGTCTCAGCCAACCGCCAACCCAGCCCTTCCGCTGCGTCTCATAACATGGAAGTCCAAGAGCCCTGTCATGCACCTCTTGTGACTGTGGCTCTGTGACTCGCTGACATCTGACCCTCTCGTGCTCTTCCTGTTCCCAGCTACCGTAGAAGTAGTCGCAAGTACCTACATCCCCTCTCTGTCGGGTGTGGGCAGGGCAGGGCATGGGTTCTGCATCACATCGCATCATAGTCTATCACGTTGGGTCGAATCACAGACACGATCAGGCATGGGCAGATCCATACATACTTCGTCCCCATCGTGGGCAGAGATATAGGGCTTCGCACGCGGCGAGCTGCCATGGAAGTGCTCTAGAACTGTGAGGTGTACTGTCCGGGCTTGTATATATATATATATATTTCAGTGGTACCTGAAGTGTTTGCTGGCGGTAATCGTTCACTTCCATTAACTTACTCCGTACCTTAACTGGACACATGGTGCGTGTCCCGTCTTGAGTTAGAAGCCGGCCCACTAGCCCCGCGCTATCCGGCAGCACCCGCTCATGATCACCCCTGAACCCTTCAAGCTCTCAACCAAAATTGGATATCCAGCTGTTGCTCTATTCAAGGTGGTTGTTATCTAAGCACCTGAACAATTCGAAAAGATTCTCCGATTTGGGCGGTGGTGAAAAAAGAGGCATCCCCCCTTTATGATATGCTGTGCTGTGCACATGCGGTTATAGCATCATGTGCCATCCTTGTAGCGACTTGTCCTAACTTGGTACCTGCAGCTAGAAGGGTCAGTCAACCTAACATCCATGGTGCCACGAATGAATGGATGGACGGATGGTTGGGTGGGAAGCTATGGGCATTGGACCAAACGTGGACAGCTCTCCTACGGCAAACTACTTTGATTAAGCCCCCCTTCACCACTCTCACTAAGTAAACCTGGCCCCAATTTCACTCACAAATGATAAACCACTTCCATATTAATTACATTAACTTCCATGCTTACCTAGGTGACACTGTCTTGACCTCTCATGTAGCCATGCAGCCGAGCTACTCCAAAACCGTCCTTCTGATACTGTCTTCTCCTCATATTGGTAGTCTACCTAGGTAGGTACCTACTCCCCCCCCCCCTCAGACCCCTCCGTACCTGCTATACCCTGGTACCTACCTACCTAAGTATGTAGCTCTGCTCATCCATCATATTTGATCATGGCAGAGCTCCCAGCACCAGATAATAACATCTGACTGTCCGCCACGGCTCGCTACCTTAGTTACCTACCTAGGTTATTGCTATAACAAGTATGTGTGACACGCAATGCTCATAACATATATCTTGTGGGTTGTCGTGGTTATCCTCTCGACCATCGTCTTTTTCTGTTCGATCATCGGAGAATAGCCCATGGGAATTGGTCCAATGACTTTCGGCCATCGATGCGTGACCACGTCAAGGCCAGCGGCTGGACTCACGGCGTCCGGCTTGATCCACCGGACCTCCACCGGCACTTCCACCCCCGGCCTGGACCGGCCAACCCCGGCCCTTCGGTTACCTTATCAAACATCAGATATTGAATAGGATTAAGCCCTCTTTGTCTGATGCTCGAGTCTGACTTGACTTGACTGGAACAACCAAGTATATGATTTTTTTTTCATTAAAAAATTTCTCTATAGATATTGTTCCATTCCATCAGGAAAAGAGGGCCATTTTGTGGAATAAAATATCCCACCGCAAGGCAGAGAACAACACGTCTCTAGTCTATGTAATGACTTGTCGTGGTGTTGGCCAAAGGCCAGGCCCGATTCGAACTTGCGGCCGACCAACATCCTGGCCATGTTTGCTGTAGTTATTGTTCGCCTCCTCAGCCTATCGTTCCTTTGCTCACTCCTCCGATGCACAATGGTTCAGATCCGGTGTTTTACCCTTCGAACCGCGTGGGGGCTGTTTACTTGACTGGCGACCTAACATACGTTGGTAGTAGTGAGGTAGTAAATAGCCAACCATCCTACATACAATGACCAACATCCTCAACTCCTTTCCTTGTACGTGACTACTTCAGTCGCTGTGGGGATCTTGCTGGCATATAACAACTATTCTGGCACCATCTTAAATGGTGCCCACGTCCTTCGTGGTCCCGCCACTCCAATGCTTCCCAGTCTTTCTCACAAGCTAGAATAGCTCTGGGCACGCGAGACCTACCAAAAGTGCGGGGCGATGTGGTGCTACACCAGCCATTTCTGGTGTGTTGCACATTCGCGGTTGCGGCGGATTGGCTTCACTTGGTGGCCTCAGTCCTAACGTTAGTCATGTCTTGGCTTCAGATATTGATTTCTGCTGTTTTGAGATACACACGCAAATCTGTTGGCTATCTGCACAATAGTGTACATATCCGCATCCTTCCTTATAATAGATATTGTCTTTTCTTTGACTGTCTGGCGCCTTAACTGTCCATCTATCGCGAATAACGCATTGAGAAGCGCTCAAGAACTATAACGGGATTGGCCCGTTGTGGTAGCTCCGTTATCCTCAAAAAAATCGAACTGCTGAGAAATGCAGATTCCATCGCAAGAGCTCCCCGAATCTTTCTCAAAATGCCTTGTCATGGCTTTCCCACCAAGAAGCGTCGATTCATTAGACCAATAAGCCCAAACAAATCTATAAGTAGATTCCACCCAAACTTAACATTGGCAAAACAACCATCAAGCACTGGGGCAAATAGAACAGACTCGCTGAGTGACAGTAGAAAAGAACAAATAGGAAAGTATGGGCCAGGTTGAAATGACCCATCAAGACGACATTCACGTCTCGGACCCGATGTTGAACGCCCCATGTTTTGGTTGCAAAAACAAGCGACAGCGAACACCCCAGGCATTCCAAGTTACAACCGAACAGTCTCAACCCCAACGAAGATGTTGTATCATCGTAGGGCGAGCCGGCATTTGGTATCCATCGCAGCTTCGGCCGCACGCCGGCTTGATTGGCGACAGGTCTTACATAATGTCCCAGACATCTTCAGCCGCGTGGCAGAACTTGCTGCAAGCAACACTAGCAGACAGAGAGTAGTTGCTGATGGAGATCTTCTCGTCAACAAGCGCATCGGCGAAGTTATCCTCACCCTTTGCCATAGCGCCAACAAAGACGCAGATGCTGTCCTTGGAATCCACGGTTTCAACATACTCACGAACCTTGACAAGTGGTGCATCGAAACTCAGAGTAACCTTGCGGCAATTGGGAGGCAAGTGGTCAGTGATGGGGTTCTGGATCACTCGGAGCAACTTCTCATTGGAGTTGGTGGAGCGGATGGACAGACGGTGCAAGAGTTGCACCATCAGACCGGCAAATCGCTTGAATGTTCGTGGGATACGGACTGAGGGCGAGACCTCGATCAAGACACCCTTGGCAGTATGGATGTAGATCTGGAGCTTGCCGGCCTTGTTGATAGGCGAATCCAGGAGGGTCAGTAAACACTAAGAGAAATGGTCAGCATGTTGAATGCCGACTCAGAAGATCAGAGTTGAAACCTGATGGGTGATGTCGGGACGAGCATCACTAATGTCCCGATTCATCTTGCGCATGACACCGATGTGCTCATCGCTGTTGAGCAAAGAGTACTTGTCCTCACGGTTGCGGCTGGTGCCTCCGTGAGAAGCCTTGTACGTCTCAAGACTGGCATTGGACAGGACGACGATCAGACGCTGAGAATCCTTGTCTGTGGGAGGGATGGGAGTGCTCTGCTCGGCAACCAACTGAGGAAGCGAGGGGGGAGGGAGAGACTGTGTGCCTATATTTTCCGACATGTCAATGACGACCCTGTAGGAATTGCAGGTCGAGTTCTTGGTTGGCTCTTACGAGGTCGCTTGACTCCAGCAGTTCGACGCTCGGGCGAAGACATGATGGAGGAGAAGAGAGAGGGCGAGACAGAGGCAGAGAGAAAAAGGTAAGTGGGCGGAGTTGAGCTTGGATGTTGGTTACTCAAGAGTGTCTCGAAACAGTCACGGACAGACAAGCCAGACAGTATGAATTGGTAGATACTGGAACAGTGAAATACCCAGACAGTACAATTGTATGATTGTATGCGATTGTTGTCGGTTGAATTGAAGCGAAGCTTGTCGCGTGCAGGTCCAGATGAAAAGGAAGAGTGAAAATTAGCCTCTGAGGAAGAGAGAAAAAAAGCGGCGCTTGCAATAAACAAAATATTGAACCCTGAGGCCAAGCCATATTCTGAAGGTAGGTACCTAAGGTAGGTAGCGGCCCCCACATCTCGCCGAAGCTCACGCACTGTCAGCGGGTCCCGGATGCCGAACGGGTAGAACACGCGGGTTCGGGGTATTTCGAAGGATGAAATCGTTGTATAATGACCAATAATTCCCTCAAAAAGACGTTGTCGTATTCGATATGGCCTCACTCAACGCCTAAAGAGACAATCAACGAACACATTGACTCGTTGCCCCTCGTCTTGCATTGCGGTTAAATGAGTTCTCGCTTAGAAGTTGCAGCCACGAGGATACCGGTATGTATCGTCGAGTCGTGTGAAGTGCTATCCAGCCAATCGGCGGGGTCCATATCGTAGAGCACTTACATAATCCTTCTCACACCCTGTACCGCTCCTCATTGGCTACTGAATTTTAGAGAGCCTTTGTGAGTAGGATGTCGAACAATTGACCGTGACAAGCAACTGTTGAACCAGCAACACTTCAGTCCTGCGAGACAAGCGAGTCAGCGCTCAGTTGGACAGAAGAGACATATTCGCCATGTCTTCTCCCGTAGCAAAGGCTGCGCGCCGTGTGACACACGAGCTTCATGGCGTTGTCGTCTCTGCTGGCCTAATGGACAAGACTGTCAAGGTCCGAGTTGGCGGTCAAAAATGGAACAAGATCGTGAACAAAGTAAGAGAATTCCCAAGTGTACTTCATAGGACCAAGAACACAGGCTAAAATGAATGTCTAGTGGTTTGCCGACCCTAAGCACTATCTCGTCCACGATCCCAACTCATCACTCCGAACCGGCGATGTCGTTTCCATTGTCCCTGGATGGCCAACCTCCCAGCACAAGCGTCACGTTATAAAGCAAATTATTGCGCCCTATGGAACGCCTACCGCAGAGCGCCCTCCCGTGCCCACGCTGGAGGAAAGGATAGCGGATTACGAGGCTAAGAAGGCCAAAAAGGATGAGCGAAGGGCGGCAAGAAGGCAAGAAGAGGAGAAACAGAGGCTTGAAGAGAAGCGTTTGGAAGACGAAAAGAAGGAGGCCAAACGCAAAGCATGGGAGGAAGCTCAGCAGAAGCGCAAACCTCAGACCTCGGCAAGCGACGTCGATTAAATTATTTCAACCTTGATATTACGAAACATGACTGCAACTCTCTAGGTGATGAGATGGGAATGGACAATGCGGGAAACATGCTTTTTGGGACAAGGCGACAGGAACAGAGGGCTGGAGCAACTAGGCTCTGTACGATATCATGCAGGGGGATCATGGCAGCAAAGATAGGGGTTTCAAACCAACTGTACTATTTGTAACATATAAATGACATACTAGACATTCAGCCCGTTTATAACTCCTCTACCCGTAGCCCAGTGTGTCGGACTGGGGTTGTGCTATCCATGATGCCCCTGCGCGTATAATGTATATGTGCCTTTTTGTTACATGTTGTATACCAGAATAATCGCAGTCTATCTACCCTCCCCTTTCTCCAAACTCTGTCGCCCAGTCTTCGTACTCTTTTAGACCAGCTTTACCAACACTCGGCCTTATGGTCGTCAAACTCGCCACAAAATCGGACAATTGAATTGGTCGGATCTCATCCATAGTCATGTGTAACAGTGCCTCTCCAAGCGATCGCAATGGCCCCATGGCTGCATCCTTCGCTAAGGCTGTGATATCTGAACCTGAAAAGCCTGTGATCATAAATTAGTCGGGTTTGCATGAAACGTATGAAAGAACTACCCACCATCTGTCAATGCCACCAACTTGAGGATATCATCATTAGACAAGTCGTGTTTCTGCTGGCCTAGAAGGGTCCTGAGCTGGGTCTCGCGAGTGGCCGGTTCAGGTAACGGGATGTATTGTCGTCGCACAAAACGTCTTCGAGCCGCCTCGTCAATTGCCCAGGGGAGGTTCGTCGCCGCCAACACAAGAACTCGGTTGGCGTCCCCCCTTTCCTTGTCTTTCTCGGTCGCTTCCCTTCCAGCAGCAGCACGTTGAAGATCGCTCCACTGAATAAGAAACTCTGTCTTAATCCTCATGGTAGCTTCGTGCTCTCCAGACCCTGATCTCTGTGAAAGCAGCGAGTCGATTTCGTCCACAAAGATAATACTGGGTGCGAGTGTCCGGGCCAATCCAAAAAGAGCTCGTACCAACTTTTCTGACTCGCCCAAGTATTTGCTTGTCAGGCTGCTTGCTGAAATCGAAAAGAATGTTGACTTAGACTCTGTTGCCACAGCCCTCGCGAGCATAGTCTTTCCTGTTCCCGGCGGTCCAAACAGGAGCATTCCTCTGGCTGGTTCTCGGAGGCCCATGAAAAGATCGGGCCGTAAAAATGGATAAACAACAGTCTCTCGAAGTGCGTTCTTTGCAATTTCAAGACCAGCCACATCACTCCAATGAACCTCGTCCCCTTGAACGACAATATCGTTCAATATTTGCTTGGCGGCTGCTGCATCGACACCAGCGGGTAGGTTCTTCAAAATTTGCTTCTTCTTGTTTTTCCATTCACTCATATCGTCAGGAGACTTTTCTAAAGTCTCTGATTCAGACGCATCGGAATCATCCTCTTGGGAACCGGCTTCTATAGGAGCCTCTTTCTCCCTCGCACGACGTGGCCTGGAACTTGTCCCATTCGTGTCATCGTCAGAGGCACTTGAGGTGGAGACTTGCCGAACTTTACGTTCACGCCGCCTTGACCTATCTCTGCTCTCAACATGGGGCCTCGAGGGTTTTAAGGATCTTCCAGGCTGCCTTGCTGCTGGACTGCGGGTTGGTAAGTTGCTTGACACACTTCTCCTCTCTGATGCTTCTCCAGAATCGTCGCCGGTCTCAGTATCGTTGGCTCGCTCTTGCCTCGATACTTTGCGTGGAGATGGCGAAGCGAGTCCGTTGCGTGAGTTGGGCAGTCTATCCATTCGGCTTGTGTAAGCATCTGATGGAGGTAAATCTTGATACGAAGACGAATTTAAAGCACTGGAGGCAGCAGTGACCGATAGCATGGATGGACGGGCGTAACAGTACTCATCAGAGTGTCGTGTATTTCCTGAAGGTTCTCCATCAAGATCGCGGTCCTTTGGCACAACCAAACGTCTCGAGTGGCTGTCCCATTGCGTTGGTACTGGCCTGCGAATTTGTTCCAAGGAAGTGCGAGAGCTAGGGCTCGCTGTGGCTGGAGTGGACTCCGACTGTGTCCCCCTTGCGAATCTTTCCCTTGAACCGAGCGCGCTCCATGCCAAAGTCGCTGCTTTACTTGATCCTTCGGCGAGTGGCTTTGCTGGCTTTCGTGGTTTGGTGGACTTTTCTCCTAATTTACCGGAACGCAAAGTCGTCCTCATGGTATGCTTTTCTGGGCTTGGTGTCCGTAACGTTTTGTTCGGTCTCGGTGGTAGAGCTGGCCCCCCAGGCGATGCAGATCGAGAGAGTGACGGGAGCGCCACGTTTGGATGTAGATGTGTGCTGGGTCCATCCACAATAGCAAGTTCTGATGACGTACGTCGAGGCTGTGATGGACGGTGTGGAAGGGTTGGTCGTGATAGTTCCGAATACTGCATGGCGGTGATTGTGCCCTGTCCAAGAGAACCTCTTCCCTCAGGAATACTTGGCCGCTTTGTCAACTTGCCGGCTGGTGGTTGCGGGGTGGTTGTCTCTTCTTGCCGTGAGATCCTGAGAGCTTCCAGAAGATCGATTCGTTCTTTGCACTGTAATTCCAGCTGTTTCAGTGCCTCTTGTAAGGCTTTCTCGGTGTCTGTACGTGGGCCATATGCGGGGGGTGCCCGATTTGCGTTGTAATCATAGATCTGATCCAGTGCAGCTCGCCAATGTCGCATGGCCTCTATTTCATTACCCTGAGACCCAAGTCAGTGATTAGTAGATAATTGAGGGAAGCGAAACAGCCACAACTTACCTGGCCTTCATAGTAAATAGCAGTTGAGCAACTTAGATAACTATCATCGTAGGTCTTCTGCAAAACAGCCAGGGCCCTGTTCCGTAGCATGGCTCCCACTGCAAATCACTACCATAGTAGCCCTGAGACTGGCTTGAGATGCGCCCTAGCCCGCCGACCGTGAAAGATTGCCGTTGTGTTGACTGTTATGTGTTTGGCGAGCAGAGCAGATTTGTGAAGGTTGTTTAGGTGGGGACGCGTTTGGGCTGAGTAGTTGAATTGATGAGCCAATGCCTTGGTATAAAAGGGTCGCGCACGTTGTAGTGTTTGATGTGATTGGAAAAAAGACGTGATCGAGTCAAGGTCGATGGTATAAGGCGCTGTCTCTGCTGCTGATGATAGTTAAACGTGATCAAGTTGATCGACCTGCATGCCTGACATGGATTAGCAGGTTAAACTTGGGCAGGCGGTGACGTAGTCTAGGATCGCACTGCCCACCCTAGTCGCAATAGATGGTGGCGGGGTAGATAATGAGCCTCATACATTAATGAGCTACCTTACCTTTAACAACCTAGGTCGGCAGAGCGCTCAATAACAGCTGTGGAAACATCCAGTGTAAAGCCACTCGTTTATTTGTTATCCAGCCGTTAGAAAATAATCAATGCGATAGAGTGCGCGAGTTATTAGGCGCTGCTATAATTTTTGCACTTCTGCTCAGTTGTATATCTAGATTCTCTACATGCTTACTCCTGGGCCATCTATATCGCCCCTTTTATCTATGAAAGCAATACACGAATCTCGGCGGTTGTTCTAGGGAAAACCGACCGTAGACCTTCGTCCTCTTCTGAATCAATAGATTCGTCATCCTCCTCAGTTATAACCTCTTCAAGCTGTTCAAAGTCATTGCAGAACTGTTCTGCTGCCTCCTCCGTAATTTGTCGAGCCAATTTCGAATCCTGTAGGTGCTTCAGATTATCCATGGCGTCCATGAGTGCTGATGGCAGAAAGTCATCCAATGTCTGGCTTGCTTGAGCGAGCTCTTTTTCATCCAACAAGGAAGCATTTTTGTCGTCATCCTCCTCCAGCTTCGTGAAGATTGCATCCAACCCTGACCCCTTTCGAAGGAACTGGTATTGACTTGTAATTAGTCCTTTAGCTGCATCGTCTGATTTCTCTAGCAGTCGTTTAGTTCGACGTTGCGTGAATTCGAAAGGCTCTAGACATGCTATTGCAGAAGATATACAATTAATCAGGAAAATCGCACCGTTCTGGGCATTCATGTTCTTAGCCATGTTTTCACAACCCGACATGAATGGTTCAAAGGCTTCCGAAAGCACATTCTCGAATTCGCTCTCGCGATCCTCCGAGGTCGATAAGGAAGAGTCGTAAGTTTTACTGATGGCCTTGAGTTGTTTGAGCGAATCTTGCAAAAATGCAGGTGGGCCAAGGTCTAATGGAGCGTGCTGAAATTCTCCTTGTAGAGTTGCGATATGATCTCTGACAAGTGCTCGGAACTGGCGTAAGGCCTCTATTTCCAGGCCTCCAATCAACTCTACCAAGTTGGAGTTGGGACCGAGCGTTTTTTGAAAAGTGATCCGGTAGAAATTGATCAGATTTGCGAGTTTATAGGCAGGTATGGTGTCTTCGTTGGCTTGAATCACCTGCTCCATCCTTTGGCGAAGCACGCGGGCGGCTGCAGAGACGTCGCGGTCGACTAGGTCGTTCAGTGCCTTGAGCGCATTAAAGTCAGCCTCGGCCTCATCGTCCTCTGCAATGAGGCGCCAGATCTCTGCGTCTCGGCCAGATTTGAAACCCCTGGCAAGTTCCTCCCCTTCTGCGACAAACAAAACCTCCAATGCCTCACGTTCACTGACAGTGGCTGAATGAATCCAAGCCAGCATGTCACCGACGTAGCGTAGCGGATCATGTGCCAGCATGTCGATGGGCTTGACAGAGGGATCTTCAGTACCAGAGGGCGAGGCACCTGTCAAAGCGACATAGAATGAGTCTGAAAGGATTCGTTCTCGAGCCTCGGAGAAGAAGTCGAGGCAGTTCTGGAACAGTGACGGCTTTTCGGCAAGAACTCGCAATGCCCGACGAATCGATGAGTTCATCTGTGGGTTTTCGAGATTCAATGTCTTGAACTCTCGCTGTATCCATTTGTAAAGCTTTTGGAAACCAAAATTGATGTTCTTCGACGTTTGCTCCATCAGTTCTAGACCCAAAGTCTGTTTCTCGAATCCAAGCAGGATCTCGCAATCCTTACTGATCTTTTTGGCTTTGCTTAAGGCATCGAAGAAGCGGTCATCTACTGGCTCGGCTGTTTGAGTAAGTGCGGCAACCTCATTCTCCGACATGACAAAATGCTTCTTGAAAGCGCCGAGCAGCTCTTGCTTCACCTCAACCTGTCTCTTCTGCTCCAATAGGGAGGATGCCTCGGAGAGTGCTGGCAATGTCTGCCTATGAGCTACAACAACTTGGCTTTTCATGTCCTCGTAGCCATTGTTAAGCTTATCAATAGTCGTCTTGATACGCCGAAGTTGCTATTGCCATGTTGGTACGATTTTCTGTAAAACAAAGGCTTGAACCCACCTCTGCAACCCGCCCAAATTCGGCAATAACTTCCCCGTTACTGTCGATGACTTCTTTTTGTAGGTCTAGTCGAACACGTCGACGAGTTTCGGCATCGTTTTGGATCCCGCGTTCATCAAGAAGAGCGAGAGCGTCTCGAAACTCTGTATCAGAATGAGTCGTCGAAAGGACACTGGTCACTTTGGATGTAAGTGGAGTGATCCCTCTTGGTGTTGAGGGAGTTTGTGGATAGCCATCTGGAGCAAGAAGTGATGAAACAGAGGCATCCTTCATAGGCAGGCTCTTCAATGACAATGAGCGATCTGTAGGTGCCATATCGTAGTAAAACAGCAGTAATGCTGCTCAGTCGAGTTGTTGCCGTCGGCAAACCTTAACTTATTCCGCGCAAGTCCATGAATCGACCGAGCCCGATGGAGCAACTGAGTAAATCTCTCAATTTGGATCTTAAAACCAACAGCGACCACGAGCGATCCCTATACAGAAACTCCTTATAAGACAAGCACGATCATGTAGATGGGAGTGCCAGGTGTCGTAAAGGGTGCATGGAAGAGGAAGGCGGTGTGCAACCATTCATTGGGTCTTATCGGTATTTGCCAGGCAGAATCGCACACCGCTCTGTAGCGTCATACCGGCGACTGGTGATGCCTGGAGCATTAAACTGTCTGTCTATTATCAACCTCCAAGTGATTTATTCACTTTTGTTTCAGGTCAGAGGTGCATGGTGTACTTGTGGTCTCTAACTCCCATTTGATCAGACTCTGTCACACCGGACCGTTCCCTTGCTTGGAGTAGGCATGTGCCTCGGGTCACGCTTATCGTGATCAACGTCCCCTCGTGACCTTGGGTTACCTGTCCTCCATATTTCACTGACGTTCGGCGAATAAATTTACGTTCATCGCAATTCCTGGATCCCTAAATCCAACAAAGCCCGGGTCCAATTATTTCATCATCCAGGTGGAAGGAAGCAACCCTTGCTCGTCGCCAATTACGGCAAGACAACAACCCAGTATCAACATCATTAATCGCCTTCGAACCGCCTCGACCCATACCAACATGCCCGCCGATCCTTACGCTTGATTCATCGACAGAACTCGATATGTCCTCCAAGTTATTCTCCCGATCGAATTTCCCTGCAAGAGGGTCCCGATCGTTTTATGAAGAGCTACGTTCTGGGGATGATGACGAGTACGATCCCGGCATCGATGAAGAGAACCTTGGGCATCGATTTGATGACGATTTTCATCCCGAAGGACTTGATATTGGCGATAGCCGCATGACAATAGAAAGTGCAGCTCTGGATCCAAAGGGCAAAGGAAGGGCTAAGACACGAAGGACGCAGGCGCAAAATTCCGGCGGACCGTCGCCGCGATGGCACCAACAGGACGACGACGGTGACAACGAGGTGCCAGCATCGTTACTCATGGAGCCAAACGAAGCAGTCAACTTGCCCCCAACGTCGCCCAGACGAGCAGCCCCATCCAACAATCCTCAAGGTCCAGAAGCTGCAGGCCCATCATCAGCACGGGTAAGGGCCCAGTGGGAAGCAGCCACAGCCCAGCAACAACTTCATCAGGAAAATAGATATGGGGTGCCCGCAGGACCACAACCTATACCTGTAGCTAGGGGCTCAATAGCGAGTAATCCGAGGGAGAAAGCACTCTGGCGATGGGTTAACACCTCAAATCTAGACAGTTTTATGCGGGATGTTTACGACTATTATGAAGGTGGGGGGCTGTGGTGCATTCTGTGTGCTAACGCCCTCTGGCTCTTGCAAGTATTCGATCATCAAGGTACGAAACATGAGTGGCTAATCAGTGCTTCAGGGAGACACTTTTCGTCGCGGTGTTGCTCACCTTCTTATGTCAATGCATTGACTATTCAAAGATTCCACACAGCAAGTCCCTGCATGAGGTTGTAGTTCCCCAATGCACGCGCAAAATGTCGGGTCTCTGGAACCTGGCTATTTGGCTTTACACCTTCTTCTTCATCTGGAAATGTGTACAATACTTTGTGGAAATTCGCCGTCTCCTCTACATCAGGGACTTCTACATTTACTTGCTGGATATCCCAGAACAAGACATGCAAACTGTTTCGTGGCAGGATATTGTGGCTCGTATCATGGCGCTGCGTGAACAGAACCCGAAGACTGCAACAAACATCACACCGAAACTGAGACAGTTCATTGGCAGCCAGTCGAAAGAACGGCTTGATGCACACGATATTGCTAATCGACTCATGCGTAAAGAGAATTACCTCATCGCGATGATCAATAAGGATGTCTTGAACTTGTCTTTGCCAGTTCCCTTTCTTCGTGGCCGCCAGCTATTTTCAAAGACAATGGAATGGTATCTTCATTACTGCATCCTTGATATGGCCTTCAACGAATTGGGCCAAGTTCAGCAGGACTTTTTGCGCCCAGATCGCAGACGTCTCTTGAGCCAGAAACTGAAGCAGCGGTTGATGTTCGCGGGGTTCCTCAATCTTATCTTTGCGCCTGTTGTGCTTGCATACGTTGTCATTGTTTACTTCTTTACTTATTATTATGTCAGTAGTTGAGCCCAGGCACTTTGTTCCTTGAAAGCTAATTCCTTTACAGGAGTACACAAAGGACCCCAAGCAAGCTGCAGCGCGCAAGTACACTTCTCTTGCAGAATGGAAATTCCGCGAATTCAACGAACTGCCACATATATTCTACGAAAGGCTGCACATGTCTTATCCATTCGCCACTCGGTATATCGATCAGTTCCCGAAGAGGATGACTGAAGATATTGCACGAACCATCGCCTTCATGACAGGTGCAATTACTGCCATTCTCGCCGTGGGCTCTATTCTTGACTCGGAGCTTTTTATTAACTTCGAGATCACGAAAGACAGACCAGTCCTGTTCTATCTCGGAATTTTTGGTGCCATTTGGGCTATCACCCGAGGAATGGTGTCCGAAGAGACATTGGTGTTCAATCCTGAATATGCCTTAATGAATGTCATTGAGTACACACACTACATGCCCGATCACTGGAAAAACAAGCTTCACAGCTTCGAGGTTAAACAGGAATTTGCAGAGCTTTACAAGATGAAAGTGGTCATCTTTCTCGAGGAGGTAATGGGCATAGTCACGACGCCTATGTTGCTCTTGTTTTCACTGCCTAAATGCAGTGACCAGATCGTCGATTTCTTCCGCGAATTCACAATCCACGTTGACGGCCTCGGCTACGTCTGCTCCTTTGCGGTATTCGACTTTCAGAAAGGACCAGGGAATACGGGTCATCAGGGGCAACGACCCGATGTTCGTGAGGACTACTACTCAACGAAGCACAACAAGATGGCCGCATCCTACTTTGGATTCCTTGACAACTACGTTACAAATCCCAAGACTGGCATCCCCGGCCATACACCGTTTGGGGGAAAACCAGCCTTCCACCCACCTCCAGCTTTCCCAGGACTTGCTTCTCCATCATTAGGAGCAGACATGCAGGGTTCCCACATTGGTCGGGCGGAAACGGGACGTGCCAGAAGTCGAGCCCCTGGTGGACGAGGACCACGTACGGGACCAATGCCACAGCCCTCCCCAATGGCGTCTATGCTGTTGGATCAACATCATCAACCTGCTGGGGTGAACATGGGTGCACGTAGTCTTCATTGGTCAAGGTATCCGCGAGCACTCCGCGGGGAAAGCCAGATAACTGAAGAAGCTGAAGATAGCGCCATGAGGCGAACTGGGGAAGATGACGAACTGTACGAGCCAGGGGGAGAACTAGGTGAATCGACCTGGGAAACGTCCCCCGCGAAAGGGGTGACTCGAGAGAACAGTGCAGCCAATACAGACGATCCTGGTGAAGGGGTATTGGGTATGATATACCAGCTTCAGCAAACGCAGCGGTCCCGGCGCGGTGGGGGCATGGTCTGATATAGAACATCTCTCGGGGGTCTCATTCATTCATTAATTTTCCCATTTTGGGTGAACCACATGGCGTCAAGGCGCATACTGGAAGTTATCTCCCCGGAATACCCTACTCCTTGGAAAACGGAGGTGGATTTTATTGGCGCTTAGCATAGATTGGGTTTTGTTTATTGCAACTATCTGTCTTGTGACTGGCAATGAAGGATTTAAGCATCGGAGCGTCGGTCAGTGTACCTGAGCGGCAGGAGTAGACTCTTGGGTATAAATGATCAAGTCTACTATATTTACCTAGGGTAAAGCATTTTATCCATTACTGAGCTCCTGGAAACTGTACTGGCAGGTTTGCTACTCTCAGGTCCCGCCATACGACAGGCAAATGAATTTCAACGAGAACATCGTGTTTGATGATAAAACCGAGGCCGTTCGCACAGACAACTAAAACACAACCAACGAGAAGTTTCTTGCACGGAGACTATATACGATAGGTAGTAAATGGAGTGAATGGGAGAGGAGATTTAGAAGAGGGTATGATATTGATGACATTAAAATCTAGCTTATTCAGACCATAACTATCAGATCAGCCAGATGCAACCACACGAGTTTTTGCCGGGGACTCCAACGTGGGTGAGTATTCAGTTCGAGGACGAGGGCTGATTGATTAATTACCCAACTAGAGAGAATTGGGTCCCCGAACTGATTGATAACCTAGTTCCAATGTGTGAGACCCCCTGTCATACCCTGATCCCTGGGTTGCAACCAGGCTCATGATTCGGTGGAAGATGAGATTCGACTCGGTATGTATGTACTGCAAGTCCAACGCCCACCCGTGTCTGTGGGCATGAGTGAATATCCATATCATTCAAATATTTCCTTTTAGATAGATATATATATATACATAGGCGTATTCTCATCTATATCAGTACTAACAGCAAGCCTGACTAGCGTCGCCTGGTCGTCCTACGCTATCCCTCCCCTTAACATCAGAAGCACTTGACACCCTTCTTGTCCAATGGAGAACTAACTATCGGTAGATGTGAATGAATAAATGATGGAGGGATGGTAACGCCGCGTGGTCACGATGGCTCGTCCATGGATAGGTATCAGTCAGTCATGGGTGCACCCTCTGTCTCTTGTGGAGTTGATGGCCTCAGATCTCCAAAGCTACCGTAGTTGAAGATGGATGAAGGACGAAATAAGATGGGAAGGAATCTCCGTCCTCCCTATTAAGGTAAGGTATTCCTTTGCCTCACGTTTCCGCCCGATATTTGTATTTCTCGCAACGGCATGTTGTTAACCTCGGCAGCTAATAAAGATCGATACATACTAACTACGGACTGATCTTGATCTTGATTCCAAACCCGACGAGACGGTTACAGGGATTATGATATGATATCAAGTGGCGCTGATCCACTCTGCAAATAAGCAAATTGGCCAGTTTACGTACAGAGATGAGCATCTACCTACTAAGTAGTGGAGATACCTACCGAGTAGATGGTCTTCCTTGGTACTGTATACCAGTGTGACCTGCCACGCCTTTCTTGGGCGCCAATGCGCACTGATGAGCTGAGAGACAATCAAATGTATCTAGGTACGAATATATACAAACAGAGCATTGGTAAATAATGTCAGGCCTCAATTTGCAGCAAGGCCAGCAGCATTCGTGGGGAATTGCAGTACTAAAGATGAACTTGTGATATTAGGGCCAAGTCCACCACCAGTTTCTCCGGCGGTAGATAAACTGGTAATGGATATGACTGCACTTCCGCGGGCATATAAATTATAATAAGCGCAACAGGAGATGGCGGAGAAATGGACAACGGCACCAAGTACCTCGCCTCACAATTTAGCAATGGAAAATACCTCGCTGTTTGCTAACTGACTTTATAGTCCTTTGTTATCTGAGCCGACGCGCCGAGCTCCCTGAACCATGCTAGTTCAAACGACAGAGGAGGGGAAAAGAGAAGACGTAGGTAGACTATGGAGACAGAGGTAAGGTAAGGTAAGGTAAGGTAAGGTAAGTAGGTAGCTTTGCAGCAATAATTTGACGGAAGGGTACTTGCCGTAGCTCCCGTCCGGACTCCGAGGCCGTAAACGGAGCTGTCTCGTCCCCAGAAAAAAAAAAAATTCAAAAAATCTAGGTACTATACCTACTAGAGGCAGTATGGGAGGGACTGCCCTGGATAGAGGGTAGCTCCAATGCCTACAGGTACTTAACCCTGGCCTGGGGTTTTTCCCGCGCTGTCCAATTCAGACTAGGTAGGTAGGTAGGTATCTTACCTACAGTACTTACTATAGGCAAGGTAGAGTAGAATAGTACATACCTACAGTAGAACACCACGACCAGCCTCTGAACTACTTTTTTGCTCCATCGCCTCCGCTCGGCTTTGGACTTGTTGCTTGCATTTCTTACACCTTAACTGCCGGCGACAAGACTCATCATTCATTGATCGGTGTATTCGAATAGACCGAGGCGAATCAAGAACAGGCCTGTCTCGGACATAGCAATCACTTTGCACGGTCTTTTCAGCTCCAGCAAGTCGAGGCCGTGTTTTTCGCCCCGAACTTAGTACCTAGGCCTTATCTCAACTTCGTCATCGTCATCGTTTTAGCGACCATCCTCCGGCGCAACTCCATATCTTGAGCCTCCTGCAGCCCCGTACGCGACATAGCCGACTTCATCTACGGCACAGATCGCTCGCCGTCACTTCAATAGCAGCAATTGCCTCGATACCTCCTCCAGTCGCCAACCTGGCGGCCCTCGAGACCAAGCCTTTCGGCGGAGCATCGGAAGCTGTGGCCGCCATGGCCCAGCCAAGTGCAGAGCCAGTCGAAGAATACGAGTGAGCACAACTCAGCATCTTTATCAAGATGGACATGTTCACCTCAGGGCCTCGAAATTGACTGTTTTCTTCTTCTTTCGTACAGCTATGAATCTCTCCCGCCCAACTTCTCCCTGCTGCAGAACATGGCAGCAGGCGCCTTTGCGGGCATAGCAGTATGAAGCATCCTACAAGCAATACAAGTTATACCGGGCTAATTCTGCGTCTTCCTACAGGAGCACACTGCCATGTATCCCATTGATGCAATCAAGGTATGCTTCTGCCCTGCACTCTCTCTTTGCGTGTTGCTTGCTCTGTCGATCTCGAGTCTGACACAATTACTTAGACCAGAATGCAAATCCTCAACCCCAGCACCACACCGGCCTACTCGGGCGTCATTCGTAATACCGTTCAGATTGCCCGCACCGAGGGATTCTTCAGCTTATGGCGCGGTATGTCTAGTGTCATAGTTGGAGCTGGTAAGTCAACCACGTCATGGCCAGGCCTATTAACTGTAGCTAAAACCGCTTAGGTCCTGCACACGCCGTTTACTTTGCAACATACGAAGCAGTCAAACATGCCATGGGCGGGAACCAGGCCGGTGTACACCATCCCCTCGCTGCCGGTAAATACACAATTTGTGCTCAGTTTGCGTTCTGACAGCTACTAACTAAATTTCCGCAGCCACCAGTGGTGCCGCTGCCACTATTGCTAGCGACGCGTTCATGAACCCTTTCGATGGTACGCCCCCTACTCCGCAGCCGTTCGAGCACCCAGAACATGTTCGCTGACAACCCTTTGCAGTCATTAAGCAGCGCATGCAGATTCAAAATTCGAGCAAGATGTACCGATCCATGCTGGACTGCGCCAAGTATGTCTACAAGTCCGAGGGCTTGGGCGCTTTCTACATCTCGTATCCTACGACGTTGTCCATGACAGTCCCCTTCACAGCTCTACAGTTTCTCGCATACGAGTCTATTTCTACCGCCATGAACCCCGCAAAGAACTACGACCCCTTGACACATTGTTTGGCTGGTGCCGTCGCTGGTGGCTTTGCTGCTGGTCTTACCACCCCCATGGATGTCATCAAGACTATGCTCCAGACTCGCGGAACCTCCACTGACCCTGAAGTGAGAAGCGTCAACAGTTTTATCGGAGGCTGCCGCCTATTATATCAAAGAGCCGGTGTCAGAGGCTTCTTCAAGGGTGTACGACCTCGCATTGTTACCACGATGCCCAGCACAGCCATCTGCTGGTCGGCATATGAATTTTCAAAGTATGTGACATGGTTAAATCAAATTGTCAACTGAAGCTAATGTTCAAACTCAACTAGGTCCTATTTCATCAAGCGCAACGATGCTGCTTGAACATCACATCTAAGTCTTGGGATACTTGGATGACCAGCATAGATTTGCAACCATATTCGACCCCCTACGATTGTCTTAATGAGAGATGGATTTGGGAGCGAGGACGCTTTAGAGAGCATGGATATGGGACTAAGACGACTACAACGACATCATCCAAAATACCCTTAAACAAAACCCTTTTGATTCGACGCTTCCCCGATTTGGTCCGAGCCCTTTATACCGAGGACCTCTACCGACTTTGCAACTGACCACGGCCTCTCAAGGGACGACGGTTGAATGAAGATCGAGGCAAGCGACGGATCGTGTACATAAAGAAATTAACCACTTCTTACGAACGAAAAAAAAATCGGAGAGCGGCGACATGGATGGGAAACGGATAAGTTATTGCTAGTGTTGATTCACGCAGTTAGACAGCGGAAGAGTGTTATGATAGGTTGTCTGTTATTACTTCTGTCAAAATACTAAGCGGGTATGCTTTGCCATGACACAATTTCCAACTGGCCTTGATTTACACATTATCTTGGATCTAGCACAAGCTGTATCTATTCCAATTGGAGCAATCGGCTTGTTCTGTTCCTCAAGGTGGCAATGCGTGTGTCCATTGGGATGTCGCTGTAGCGCCGACATCGGCGGTGGTGGTGGGTGATATTGTACCGAGGCCGAGCAAACACGCTTCATCGAGTTCCTAAAAACTAGGCAAATAGATTTACAAGTTGACTTGGTATAAAGATAGAATTCTCAAGGTATACCATCTCACTATATACTGTTCTTGACGAAAGTGAGCGATCTGCGGAAACTCCGACGCCGTTAACCCCTGTAC